CAACCTCTACATCCTGACCATTAATTAAGAAGGTTGGAGGGATGTTGTATTTTTCCTAAAATCAGTCCTCGCAGTTCCTTTGTTTATAAAACATTTAACATCAAAGACAACTTTTGTAACCATTCTTAAGTCCATTTAAGTAGTGAAAATGTCAAACCTTTGAGTGCTTTGTATGTTATAACAAAACTTTTCAAATCAATTGTGTGTCATTAAAAGCCTGGCCCACAGCTCTGTGCATGTTGTATAAAGTAAAGCACATTAACAGCAGCACCAAAAGTCAACTATTTAATAATCCTTAATGAGGTCCAGCAGTTCAGAATTGGCAAGGAGTGGACAAGCCTAAAAGTGGGCTGTACTGCATAAATTGAAAAATGATACCCTTTCATTAAACACGAAACTCGAAAGCAAGTCAGTTAAAAAATGATAAACATAAGAGTTTTTACTGCAGAACAAGCCCCAATCTCACATCCATGTCTGACCATACTTAAGCTATGGATTTGGGCTGCAGACATGGCATACCACGTAATATCTGTGACCCTGTCTTATAATAAACAAAATCTTTTTGCTACGGCAGTGTTCTAACTTACTTTAGAAACATCCAAGTTGGTAACAGGAGTGATCTGCAGTGGTGTGCAGCTTTTATTTTAACAACATTGCCCTTTTTTCCCGCACACAAAGCAAAACAACAACAAAAACTGTGGGAAATAAAATAAATTACAGAGTTTTGTATCATAAGCGTCCATCCCCGGGGGCGTAGCCAGGAACTGATTTTTTGGGTGGGCCTGTGCAAAAGTGGGTCGCCCGGGCTCTAACTGACCATCCTGCCAGCATAGGGGCACCCCTCCAATTTACAAAGCAATCCTCAAGAGGTATAATCAAACAGCAGAATTAGCTTAACCTTATATATACAGTACGTACTGTCTCTCTTCACACACACATAGGTCAAGCAACAATTACCTAGACTGCCAAACGCTGCTGTGCTACAGCGGACACTCACACA